GGGGGGGGGGGGGGGGGGGGGGGGGGTTTGTCTATCTAGAGAAGGTGCCTGCCACTTTGTTGATGATACCTATAACGGCAGTAAACTACCCATCAGAAACCCGCCCATCCACAACAATCCCCAGGTAGGTTGTGCCAGAGCTCTCAAGATCGCAGGACCAGGACAGGCGCCCGAAGCACCCCAGGCGACGCCGAACAGGGCAGCACCGATCATAAAACGCAACGTGATACTGCTCAGGGCAGTTGTCGGCAACTCGTAGCGTCTGTTGTACTTTGGAGGCACACTGCATTCAGGGCTCGGTGGTTTCGCGCACGCCACATTCCACCAGACGATGTTCGGGATGATGGCAAAGATGCCCACGAACCCCAAAGACGGGTCCCAGCCGCTGATGTCCAGCGGTCCAAATGAGACAGAGAAGAAGGACAGCACCTTGACTGGATCAGCGAACCCGGACACCAGCAGGCCCAGACCAAACGTGAACCCGACGAGAAGTCGACTGGCAAGACCCGCGACTTCGCTGTTCTTGGTGACGGACAGTACGAGGCTTGGAAGCAGATGAAGGCTGGCTACTGTTGCTGAAATCGCGAGAGCGACATTGATGACGAAGTCTGAGCTCGGGTAGACTGGCGTGTAGCATTCCACCCCTGCGGGACAATTCGCGGACGCTTTGGCCGTGGCTGATGGCGTTAGTTGAAAGTGGTGTGTGGTATAAGCGGCGACCACGAAAGTGAGCGTTGCAACCAACGATCGGGCTGAGAGGCGGCTCACGCCACACAGCATATGTCCTGAAGTGCAGCCGTTGCAGTTCTACGAGTGGTATGGTGAGTCAAATTTTCTTTGGGGTACGAGTCATTCGAAGGAGGGGCGGATGGTGCACTGTTTTGCAGGCGTACCTTTGTTCCATAGCCTGTCAATATCCCAAGTCCGATGATCCACAGGGAATCGTTCCAGTCGTGCTTAGGAACCTCATAGTTTGGAATGAGCGTTGGAAATATTGATTTCGTAGCGAACACACTCAGCGCCATCCCGGCGATGAAGGCCACATTTTTTGATGTTGGGCTGGTAAGGATCCCCCGGAGCTGGCCGGAAGCTCCAAGAACGCACCCATTGTTGAACAGAAGGGTGGTCGACGCTTGTTGCAGGAGAACTGCTCCGAGAGCAGACTCGATGGGAGTGAACATGGAGGTGATCGGATGGACTCAAAATTCAAGCCTGATGAGAAATCCTGTGAATGTTGAATATTGGTAGAAGGAATTTCAAATGTACGTAGATGGCATTTTGTGGGTCGATCGGGGAACAACCATCCTCGGGGTTCTAGAAACTTAAACTTTGGATACCACCTCGAGAGGCCGAATTCACAGGTGCCACTGTTTGTTCCCTTCACTAGGCTTCTTCGAAGCCACCATGAAGCTAGTGCAAATGGGAGTGTCGATTATCGTGTCCGAGGCATAAAAAGCTGGCTGGAGATGTGTTTAAACAGCACGAAGGCAGCCATGGACGACCTGATCTCTGTGATAGGAAACCTGGCTCTGACTTCGTGGATTATCTGCTCCTTGGCTGGTCGTCATTAAAGAGGTGCACACGACAAACTGAGACCTTGACTTGGTCGACGCTGGAGCACAGCAGAAGCTTCCATTGCTCAACACCTTCACCTGCCTCATGTTCGTTAAAGACTGTATGCTGTCACACAAATGTAAACGTCAAATCCCGCCAAAGGCAGTCAGGATCAGTGAGTCAACCTGATGAAATCATCCCTAGATCGGTATAGAGGGAGTATTTCGGCCCTCTTTGTCAGCGAGGCTATGCAGAAGCATCATAGTAACATTTCTGTGGTGTCGAAAAGGTTCCGACTGAGCCTTGGTTCTAGATCAATCAGGTGGCCGTTGTTCTCGCTTCACTGGAAAACATGGGAGATAGACACCAATCGACAGATAGGGAGCATCTTGCACCTAATACAGCAAAGAGATACCCATACTTATCTGCCACCTCTGACACGATCCTATATTTTGAAGGAATACGTAGATCTTAACGGTGAGTAATCTACAACTCTTTCACATATTCTTACCTCAAAATTGGTGCTGGTATGGGCACAGGGCTGAGCTGCGAAGCTTGCAGTGCTTAGCGATGAAAGCAGTAGGACGTAACGACGCGGTTACGACGCGGTAGCGGCGACCGAAACTAGACGTTGAAAGAGCGTTTTGGAAGCGTAAGTATTTGCAGTTGTCAGGAACGGCTGTCGACGCTAGACTTCCATCCGACATGGGAATAGCCGTGGGTCAGCCTTGAAGGTACCTGAAGGTGGGCTTCTTGCGAGGCAAAGAGCTTCCCTTCGAGGTGGCAACCAAGGATCAAGTCGAGGCTGGGCTACTTGTCCATAAAGTCGGCCTTGGGGTGGATACAGCAAGAGGCCGGCACTGTACTCCCTACATGGTCTCAACTCAACTATCCTGGATCAAGTCTTCTGGGTGACAGACTCTTGTCACACCGATTGACCAGCTGGCACTGGCCCTCCGTTGGACACTTTGGGCATCGGCGATCGAAAAAGCGGGTAGCCAGATGACTGGTGTAACGGGAGCAATCTAGACCAGAGCGATCTCAAGTCCAGCTTACCGTTCTGCAGATAGGTTTCAAGCGTTACTCGTTGTTGTGCCAGCCATCCAAGAAAAGTACAGTAGTAACCCCTAGACAACCCAAAAGTCCACACCATGCTGGAATTATCCAGGGTGGAGGAACACTATCCATATCTGGCTCGTCATGCAGGATCTTCTCTAGGAACTTGACACAAACTTATTTCTCAAATTTGTTCCTGGATGAGGAGGTGGGGAAGGCAGCCGAATCACAGCCTGCGAACAGTCCATAACTGCAGCAAGGAGAGACGAGGTTTTGGTAGATGTGGAATTCAAGCTCCCGAGCTGGTAGTGAGCGACGTTCTTGTCATCTCCACCTTCTGCAGCTAGACAAGAAGGGTCCAGGCTGATAAGTTAGTAGAGATGAGAAAGCAGAAGGACGTGAAGACCGTCCTCCTGTATGAAGTCGTGGTGGCTGTAGTCTCGACGCAGGAAAAGAAGTGGCCACCGGGTCTTTAGCCCGCGACAAGATCCTGGGACCTCGAATCAACTGCTGCTCCGTACCTCCCAGGAGATTCAGCCGTGGTAGAGCAAGCCACGATTCTCTTCTAGCGACCTCAAGAAGAAGCTGTAGACGTGATCCTAGGGAAGGAGGGGCGGATTCTGCTTTGGGCTAATGCAGGCGCTAAGAGACGGCACATTCTGGAGACCTTTGAAGGATGGTCGTATGGACAGTTTGCCGGACCAAGCGTGCTAACAACAGGGAAGGGAGAAAGCAGGATGCCGATGTTGGGTGTTTTCCGCATCATCCAGTTCAAGCGCGATGGGTCATACTCGTACAAGAGCAGATTGCAAAAGTGCTGTCCTAAGCGACGGTGGCTCAAGTCGAATTGCACATACGCACCGGTGCCTCATCGCTGCCGATCACGTCCAAGGTGACACAACTGAAGTGACATTGGAGCAGTGAAGCAATAATGTGGAAAGCACGTATTCCCAAGAAACGCGAGTTGGTGTGTTGTATGGGGTCCCTCAATCGATCGGTCCATTGGGTCCGTCAATTTATCCCTCGCACTCTGTACACGTCTTTGGAGGCTTCCAGACTCTTCATGTGCAGAATTTAGAACAGCACAAGACCCGAGCTTATCGCAAATCTTTCCTCTCGGTCTTGTAGTTGTACCCACGGCGGAAAATTAGCTGGAAAATCCAACCCAGCTACGAGAGGTGGTGCGGGCGCCTCGTGAAGCTGTCATATGGACGGTGGATCTACACTTGACAGCCGGCAGCAGCAGGGACAGATGATTTGCGGCCAGGATCTGAGGCGAGAGATGAACCTTGCCCTAGTTAGGGCCTGACGAAAAGTCGTCGCGGCGAGAGTCGAACTAGAGTCAGGGGCCGGTGGAGCCGCATGTCCTCGGCGAGTTCCCCCATTTGGGCTGCAACAGGACCCAGTCTCCCGGTGCTCAAGCTACGACTTGACGATTCTCGCGTATTGGCCCACAGGTTTGTGCGATCCCCCCGGAGCCAGCCCCAAAGTCGCTCGATGATGGTCAAATGCATGGCTCTTGATCGGGAGATGTGCCCATGTTCCCTTTCTGGCCCTAACGGGCAGAAATGAGACCTGAAGACCCCAACCATCGCCCACCCAGGGATGTACCTTGGAGGCTGATTAGAATTCACGTAAAGCCACACTAAAGCGACTAGGAACTCTTTGAGAGAATCACTGATCGCTCATTCACTGGGTTATCGTCCTACTACACACGGCTCGTAGGCACGGCCGAGACGGCTTCGCAACCTCCAATGCTTCACCGTCTCCTGTGCTATCCGGAACCAACCGTCGACCCCGCTGCCGTTCAGGGCAAAGCCTCCGTCTGGATCAGAACGTGGTCGCAACTTTCAGACGCACAAGCCAGGACCGGGGTCCCAGATGTCGATGTAGGACAAACCAGACAAGTCTCTCCCTTGGCTGTGGGAGGAGGGGGACAAAGATAAAAATATGTAGACCCGTTCGACGATTGTCTCACCTGCGACCTAGACTCCTCGTCGAGTTCTCTCTGCTCTTCTCTTCGGGCTTGGGACTCTTCTTCTTGTGCGACAAGTAAACGCTCCCGCGCGTGCGCAGGACCACGAGATCATCCTTCCCTCGTCGGCTCCCACTGCATACTCACCACCGTCATGGCGCCGAAGAAGGGTAAAGAAACGCTCCTCGAGCTCTGTACCATGGCAACCAACGTGGGAAACAGCATCTCTGTACGAATGCTGGAGTATCTCGGTACCGTCAAACACCAGCCCCATGGATTCAAGGAGCTCGCCTGCGACTTCCTCGATGTCTCCCGCATCCTGTGGTCCATTGAAGCGGGTCTGAATGAAGCTGGGAGGTCTCAAACCAAGTTCCCGCAGGATATGACCCAGGAGCTAGACAAGAAGTTCCGGCAAACCAACGACGACTTCATCGTCCTGAACCAGATGCTGACCAAGTTTCTGGAATACGAAAGAAAGGGACGCCTCGGTCGATTCCAGAGAGGGTTGCATAGCATGTTCTCGGATGATGAAATCCACAAGCTGAGAGAGTCTCTGGGGAGGAGCCGAGATGCTCTCAGGATGAGCGCTTTGGTGTTTCGGTGGTCGCTGGGAGATGCAAAGGCAGATGCCTCCGTCGGCATTGGATACACAGGTCTTGCTGCTGTCCTCGAGCGCATGAATCCTGGCAAGGTCCCGTCCATCAACACGTCAACTCTACCCGCCGAGCCACCGATTCATACTCCGACGCCGCAGACGCCGCCTCCTTCACAGGTCCCCGACCGCCTGCCGCCTCTGCCACAGATCTCGACTGTCAGCGACAGGCACGCGAACTACTCACTCTTTCCACGACTTGACGAGGACATAAACGCACTGGTCAGCCACCACATCGAACCGCGAACGAGCTCGCTCGACCACCGGAATGGTGATGCACATAGCATCCACAACAGCATCCATCGGCACGGGGATGACCACAGTATTCATCGCAACGGTGACGCCCGTAGTATCAAGGCTCTCCCCAGCATTCGATCCAGTAAATACACTACAGCCTCAACGATGAGAGACCTCGGGCCACATTCAAGTGTAGAAACTGCACCTACGGATGTCACGCTCGATGACCGCCTCTCTGTCAAGACTGCCGATTCTTTTACGCAGATCGAAGATATGATTTCTGAGATTGAGTTCAACGACAAGCAATCGCAAAAGGTCGTCCGCATCAAGGCGGATCCCTCTACCGTTCCACGATGGACTCCTAAACAAAACAGTGGGTCCAGCTCGCCAGCACTGAAGACTGCTCTCATCAGTGCAATTCAACAGAGAAAGCACAAAATGATTGAACAGTTACTCGACTGTGGTGTTCCCCCCAATAGCGGGATGGATCTCAACGTACTTCGCGAAGCTGTTCTTAACCGCGATGCCGAAAGTGTTCGCCTCCTACTCCTGTTTGGCGCTGACCCTAACAGCGTTGATAAATCCGCCTCTACGGCACTCATGGCTGCTATCGAGACCTCCTTTATCGAGGGGACGAAGCTGCTCCTGAAGTATGCGGCAGATCCCAACCTACCAGCAGGGCCCAGGAACGAAACGCCCCTAGCAGTTGCCGTGGCCGAGACCAAAGTCGAGCTGGTTCAACTACTGCTCACGTACGGGGCCAATGCAAACATGAGCACTTCTGACGGCAACACTCTGCTCGATATGGCGGTCACAAAGACCTCGCCTCGACGCCTGACTGAGCTTCTTCTCATCTACGGTTCCGATGCCAACGGCAAAAGCAACCGTGGTGAAACGCCACTCTTTGTTGCCATCCAAGCAGGCCGCCTCGACCTGATGCAACTTCTCTTGGACCACGGCGCAGACCCGAACCTCCCAGGGCCCAAACACCCTCTCTGGCCAGCGACATACTTCCCCAAGGGCCTTCAACTCCTGCTTTCTCGCGGTGCTACGTTCAAGCGGTGCCCGGGCATTCTCGAACTGGCCACCTCGATCAACAACATCGAGTCCGTCACGACCCTTATCCGCGCCGGTGTCGACATCAACGCCAAAAAGGACGGCACCTACACGCCACTCTGCACGGCGATTCGAGACAACCGCACTGAACTCGTCTCCCTCCTCCTTGCATCGGGAGCTGACCCCAACGAGCCGGCGGCCGAATACCCGGCGTTCAAGTGCGTGACGCACCACCGCACGCACCTCCTCCCTCAGCTTGTCGCTGCTGGCTCGGACCTCCACAAGCCAAAGGGCATAATCGAGAAAGCCGTGGCGCACAACAACAAAGACGCGCTGATGTACCTACTGGAGCAAGGCGTCAGTGCCAACGACCGTACCCCCGAAGGCTACACGGCACTCACCACGGCGATCCGAGAGGCCAAGGCCGACTTTGTGGACATTCTACTCGCGCACGACGCCGACCCAGGTATCCGAGGCCAGGACTGGCCCATCTGCATGGCGGTGAAGCAGCCTGCCATCCTGAAGAAACTGCTACCCAAGGTGCACAACCCGCGCGCCGTCAAGGGCGTGATGGAAATGGCCGTTGGCGCCAACGAACTCGAGAGCGTCAAGCTCCTCCTCGCGGCCGGCGTGAGCGTCGAGGACAAGAACGGCGGCGTCTTTTCACCCCTGACCACGGCCATCCGCGAAGGCCACAAGGAGATCGTCAAGTACCTGCTCGACGAGGCCGGCGCCGACGTCAACGCCCCCGGGGAGCATCTGCCCATCATCAAGGCCATTCGTCGGTTCCGCGGCGACACCGAGATCATCGAGATGCTCCTTGCGCGAGGTGCCGACATCAACTTGATGTACCGCGGGTGGAACGCCATCTTGCAGGCCGTCGAGAATGGCGACGCCACTGTCCTTCAAACCCTGGTGGAGCATGGAGGCACCGTTGATCTCGACGCCAAAGACGAATCCGGAAGGACCGTGGTGGAGATTGTCGAGGAGCGAGGTTGGGACGAGGCCGTTACGATTTTACTTGGGAGCAAGGAGCAGAAGTAGCAAGACGAAGTCAAGAAGTGAATGGAGCGAGGGAGGACTGATGAAGAAATTTCGAGAACAGTGAAACGTTGTCTTTTTTTTTTGTTGTCCCTATTATATATCTTGTCTTTATGTCGTCGACGACACAGTTTCATATGTTGCTAGCGAGGCCTGGTTTCGTGGCGGGTGGATGAATAGGTGGGTGGCTTACTCTGAATACTTGTACCTGGCTGTAGTTTTACTCGAGAAGGAAAAACCTAATTATCAATTACGATTTAATCCTTGAGTGTGGTCGGTGGTCGCTTTATCCTGAACTTTAACTGAGCCTTTAGCTGACGGTCACTGAACACTCCCAGAGTTAGTTAGGACACCGAGGGCGGCATCGGGCCCCCTAATATGTAATCGGCTAAACCTGTCTCTTAGCTAGGCATCCGGTGCAAGGGGGGGAGGCGGGTTGAGAAATCCGGCAGACTCCCCCTGCCTATACATTGTGGTCCCGAAACTTCCATGTAGCTTTGGGCTGGTCCTCCGGCAGGGTGAGCGATTGAATGCTTCGTTGTAGATTCGTTGGAGAACCAACAGCTTCCCGACTGGAACGAACCTAGAGAAGACCTTGCAAATTGGCAGATTGACTCCAGCAACACCTAAATTAACTACTATACCACTGCTCCATCCATATCCCATTGACCCCAAAAACATCGTAGAAATTCCACGAGCACAAATTTCAAGAGCACTCACGCACATATCCTGAGACACAGTCACATAACCTGACCAGTGTCTATACTTCCCGGTGAGCTTTAAAACACTTGCTATTTATCTCCCGTCACAGTACCAGAAAGTGCACCTTCCTCTACCCGGTGTCGTATCGATAGCAATTTGGCCACCAGATCCATGCCGGCAGGATGACGCAACAAGAATATGGCTGCAAGTCGATACTTTTCGTATAGGGATAAAACACACAGAGTAGTGACCAAGCGATCCAAGCTGATGACTCTCATAGACATAAGCACCACTGGCAACGAACAGACGTAAGCGCCCTGTAAGAAGTCACCCCAAGTACCGACATAGTTGATAAGATCGAAATGCTTGAAATGCTTGGGACGAATTTCCTCAAAAAATTCGAGGACGAACTTCCACTCGCTTATCAAGTCGCTGAAAAAGGAGTCATGAGGAAGGGAGCGGCAGGGAGCGATTTGAGCAACGATGTCATCAGTGAGAAGACCGACGAACAATCTGATCCCAGCCCAGCTCCGTCTGGCTTTTTGGAGCAATTCCGAGGGCCGGGTAGTATTATCGCTGATGCAGCAGCATACCAACCCCAAAGTATTGTAAAGATCACCTGCAGTCAATCCGGGAAGTGATGGGTAGTTGCGACTCTTCCACCATGAAAGGGGAACCAGCGCCATGTAATCGTTTGGGCTCCCTAGGTCGCGTAAGCCTGAAAATCTCGCAAATGCTTGGTAGGAATTGAGATCACTCTCATCGGGAAGAAAATGACAATGCGTCAACCTTGTGTTAATCTTTTGAAGGACAAACCAATCGCTTGAACCAGGGTTGTGATATCCAGAATTTTCGAGGCTGGGGCCGATGAGTCGCAAGGTTTCAGTCAGGTATCGTTCTAGAAATTGATAAGCGTCATGCGCTTTGCGGTCAAGGGCATTCTCGTGTATTGATAAATGTATCATAGAGCCTAGCAGAAGCATCGCGAAGATAACTGTACTTTCGCTGAGAGATTCTCTTCCGGAACTTCCACAATTTGGAAAGCTCTGGCCACGAACAACCCTGTCGATAATCTTCAACAGACAGGAGCTAGAATGGGATCTGCATGCGCGCACGAAGGATTCTTGTTCAGGTGCCAGCAACCGGAGGTAGTCCGGTTTTGCAAGGAGCAACGATGACATGGCGAATGTTGCTGGAGCTTGAAACCCGCTTTCAGTGAGACAGCGGCGCCAAAAAATCGAAAGATTGGAAGTCTCATCGCTTGCAGCAAGATTCGTAATAGCCTGAAGGAGATTCCAGGTTTCCAAGGTTGGCTCTTCAAAACCCCAAAAAGAATTTTCGAAGCAGGAGTAGACGTCAAATGCCACAGAGCGACGCTTTTGACCAGGGGTTTTAGATTTCAAGAAATCTGAAATGGCGCCAGTATTCTGTTTAGTTAGCCCTATCCTTCGGTGAAGTTCAATTACACTGACCAGGGCAAAGACGTTGAAGCTTTCAATATCTGCTCGTACACAATCTATTTCAATATTTCTTTTAATATCTGACGAGCATGGTTCGCAGGGTGACCCTAGAGTGCACTAGCTACCTCAGCTAATGGACTATGCAATTTGGTTATAACTCACCTTTCTGTGTCTGTAGATACACCGTATGCATTGACCTCTGGAGTTCCTCAGCGACAGAATATTTTTGTGGTCGCGACGTCTGGGTGTCTTCGGTTGGTCGAGGCTGTATCTCTGGTAACTGAGCCCCAGAAGCTTGTCTGTCTCGGTCGGCTTGCGGGGTGCAGCTTTTGGGACGAACTTGGTGGGATTTTGCGCCTGGGTGTTTGATCGGTTTGCTCTCTGTTGGCCTCTTGGTTGCGGTTCTGACGATGCTGAATCTGTCAACGTCAATTGTTGGGGTTCGGTAGAAAGTTGGCTACCTCCAAGCAATTTTTGATTCGAGTGAAGATCGCATCCAGCGGAATTTTCAGAACCACGAACTTCTTGGCTCAATGGCTCCTGAGGTATTGTGAAGGACTCGTTGATTTCAGAGATGTCCTGGACGAGTGGATGTGATAAGGTGTCACCAGAAGTAACCTAGATGTTGAGCAGTTACTCCAGATTCCATTGGCAAGACTTACTGTATTCCCCCCGAAAGTGTTGATGCTGCATGAGTCCTCGTTATTGACGCCAAACCATACGTCGAGCGTAAAGGTATCGTCAAAACCAAATCCGACCTCCAAAGATCCTAACTGAGTCGATGCTGTCCCGCTGTTCAAGGCTTCTTTGTTGTCTGAGGTATTGACAAGGCCTCCAACGTTGGCATTCGTCGGTTGCATTTCCGCAGGATCTTCTTCAACGACATCCTGTTGGGACGGGAGAAGGTCCGAGTCTGAGATGAATAGCGGTGAATTGAGCCATTGGTCCCATTCCTCTGCGACGGGTCCATTATCATGATCGGGTTGCACGCTTTGGTCCATTCACTGAAACTAAGAGGGGATTATGAGAGGCGGTAGTGCGCATTCGTAGAGAAAAGATGTGGAAAGTAGAATTTGCTTCATGTTAAGTCGGTCAAGGAATCCTTTATTTACGTCAGCCACTGCGTCGACTCTTAACCTGAAGAGGTAATACGATAAATCAAGGCCTGGCAAAAGGGGCCGAGCTAACTACATTGGGGAATGCGATAAAATATACGTGCATCGCACGTGATGACTTACACTAATTCTAGTAGGGAAATGCGATGAATCTAGACATGAACAGAATAGAATCTGTAGTCAGGAGTATATCTCAGAGCTGCTGCAGTTCCTCCTCCTGCCTGGGAATGATGTTTGCAATTGGTATCTGGCTTGACAAGTAGAAGCGCAATGCCGCTCGCCAGCACAAACTCCGTGATGCAAAGAGAGTCAAACGAAAATGCCGAGAATGGCTGGACCCGAAGTGACTTGCTTTCCTTGATCCAAGTCATCATTGCTCTTTGCATGTTGGCGCTGGAGTCAAGGAGGTTGATTCAGAGTTGGAGGGGACAAGCTGTAAGTGTTCGACTTCGTCATGTTTTACTGAGGCTGAGAGATAAGCGATATTGCAAGAAGACAGATAGCCGCCTCTGTGCAAGACACAATGAGAGACTCCGCCGCAGCGCTACCGCGTAAACAAAACGGAGGCGGTCCGACAAACTTTTGACTGCGTATATCTTACTCTGGCCTTGAGTAACGTTATGGTTATCACGGATCATAACGTAAGTCAAGCCGAGAGAACCATATCGAGCCATAGCCCTTACCATTTCCGAGGGCATTTGAATATTGGGCATACTTCCTATATGTGTTGAAGAAGAAACAAGTTCAGGGTGTTAGGAGCGGCGCACCTTCGAGTTGCTTTGGGGAAAACATGGGATGTCGCAGTCAGGAGATGCGACCAAGCTCAGATAGTGCGGAATTGGAAGGCTCCCGTTGTCCAAATTAATGCATTCAGAGCTTGGGGGAGAGGAATAAGGGAGTCTTGAGAGAAGAGGGGCCGAATTGGGATCCCTCTGCGTCTCAAACAAGTCCTGCAGTCTAAAGTGGATGAAAGTGGATGAAAGTTGATGGCGTGAGTGACCAGGGGGAAAGGACTACGAGTGTCAGGCGAAACTCCGGGAGTACTCCAGGCTCTAAGGGATCTCGTTCAGGAGGGCATGGGCAGGCTGAGCAGCTCCCTAAGTTCCCTTGAGTCGAGGGCGGAGAGCCTAACCTGGCTCCTTTTCGCGGAACTACCATAACTGTGCGTGTTACGCAGTAGGTTACCTCAGTACTTACTTGGTAAAGTTTTCCTGTCTACCCTGAACATCCGATCGTCTTCTCCACAATCCTTAAAGTTTGACTAGTATATACCTGAAAGTAATGGTTGTCATTGTCGGTGGTGGTGGTGTTGTTGTTGTCGCTTTTGTTTGTCCAAGCACAAGTTGGTGGGACCCGAGGCTGAGGCGGAAAGGGGTTAGCTATCTAGGTGCCGAAAGTCATATCGTACTTCAAACTCCGGATACTTGGTTCGAATCTGTCACTGAGAACTTACCTCTTATAACTCAATTCTTGTACCTAGGGACGACCGTACGAAAAAGCTAGGTAGAGAATCAGTGGCAAAGGAACGTCACCTTAAGAATAGACCCTTAGATTTTAAACTTCCATGCATCCCTGACCCTCTCGGTGTCTAGATCCGGGGACTCCAAGCTCCAGATCCACAATGAGGTAAACGACAGAGTCATGACGAGCATTGACGACCGACTGACTGTGATGATTGATCGATTGAGTGGTCGCTGTTTAAACTCACTCCGCACGAGTAAAAAAGAGGTGTGCAAAGACCCTACCTACGTGTCCGATTCCTCTTCCCTTCCCTTCCTTTGCAAATATGCTACAGTGTATAGGTAGAAAAGGACTCGACGACCACCTGAACTAATAAGAAGTCCTGTCACTACTACGAACACTACACCACCTCACACCGCACCACTGCATCCATCACTAGGCACTACAATAACAACAACAACAAGACTACAGTACCATCCCCACTACTCGTACTACTACAAATCCCAAAAAGATGCAATCGACAACGGCGAGAATGACAACGAGGATGGCATCTGTACTCCGTCGCTCACTACCGACGCCGGCACCGGCACAGGGACAAGGACAAGCACGACTTCTCCGAACCGTCGAGACACCACAACGCCATGTCCAACCACGCCGGCCTCTACAATACACACCGATCCGAACATACGGCGATAAAGCTGAAGCGTCGTCCTCGACGCCGGCACACGATCCGCTCGCCAGAATACCACTGTGAGTGATCTTGCATACATCCCTCCCCCCGAGAAGTGTACCCCAGGAAGAATTGCCCACCTCGTTATCTACCTCGTTAGAAGAACATCCATCAGACTACTGGTACCTGTCCCTAACCATTACCTCCGCCACGTGTAGATACATCCTGGGAGCCGCGGCAGTCTTTTTCCCGTTCTACTACTATGTCCATTCCGGCAAGCCGCCCAGGTCGGAACAGGCGACGGTCGAACAGCTGCGGAGGGAGCGCGGCACGGAGCACGAGTACCGAGACCCGAGAGACACTCCGATCAAGACGCTCGAGCGGAAGAAGAAGGCTGAGGAAATCAAGTCCTCCAAAAACTAAGGTGAACACACCAAATGTTCGGCTTAGTCCAGCACAGCACAGCAGATCCCAGTATCACTCAGCCTTGTTGCCAAAAGTTACAAGACCACCATGCATGATGAGCCGAATCATCAATCAACACACATTCGGAACGAGGCTGTTGAGATGACTACCTTGCGGGTGGATTAGCATGAAACAAAAATGTTAGGGGCTTGTAGGACCCAAGAATAGGGACGGACTTTTTTCATATCGTTGCGCTGGTGTCATTCATGGACATGAACATAACATGCCACATATGTGTGGGTTGGCATCATTATTCGAGATCGTTAAAACCAAGATTTAAAAAAATACCATGGAATTCCATCCACTTCAACACCCCCCCACAATCACTCACAAGCCTGTCGTTGCCATGACGGTCACAACAACCAGTACCCACATACCCACGCTAACACTCATACCAATCAATGTCGCACTGCCGTTGTCTTGAGTACCACTGGAAGAACCATTGCCCCCAGTGCCAGTGCCGTTGCCGTTACCACTGTCATTGCCACTTCCGTTGCCCGCAGCCACCAGACCAGGAAACTGACCCAGCGTGTAATTGTCCACGAGGATATACTTCGAAATCAACGCCGACCCGTCAATGATACTCTGGAGTTGCTCGTCGTTGCAGCTGGCGCTCGAAGCGAGTGTGTAGCAAACAACCTCGCTGGTTTCGTGCGGAACATCCTTGACCGACCAAGTGTCGGACAATCCTGTCGTCGCAAACGAGTCATTCTTGGCCGTGTCTTCCTTGCCCGTCGCAATGTCGAGATTGAAGAGCGCGCGGCGAAAGATCTCATACGCCGTCTCAGGCTGGTACGCAGGTACTTCGTGACCGGCCTGGAAGACGCGAGAGAAGCTGAAGTTCCCAAACTGCCGGACCAAACCGCCAACATAGCTCGAGTTGACGCTGATGTTCGCATACCCCGCGGCCGCAAAGTCGGAGGTGTGCGAATAGTTGACGGCCAGCGACACTGCTTCCCCTCCGATCCAATTGCACGCGTAGTCACGGTCGCCGTACACCAAAGCAACCTTGATTCCGTTGTCGATCAAGTACGAGAGATCTTCCAGGTAACCGCCGCGGGGATAGTCTCCGGTATCCTGAAATGCATAGTACGGGGTATTACCTCCCGGATTGGTGTAATTGACGGGAACTCCCAGCGCGGCCTGCACATGCGGCTGGTTGAGATAACCGATGTAGTAATTCGGTGGAAACGGATCAGGGTCAATGGCTGCAATGTCATAGTAATTTCGTCCCGAATAGTCGACATAGGGACCTTCGATGTCCCAGGTGGCATCGTTGGCGGCTGAGCAAGCATCGTTCACTGTCGCATTGTTGCCCTGGTTTTCAGGGTCTCCCTCGGCAGCTAGAGCTCTGCACGTCTCGATAAGTTCTCGTACACCGCCAGGTTCCGTGAAGCTTTTCAGGGCTGCGTCGTAGATACTCTGGTTGATCGCTTTGATGCCGTAGGTATTGTTGAATGCCATCTCAGGATAGCTAGGTTCTTGAATAAGGGTATCGATACATCCGTTGATGATGCCGAGGGTATCGAGGTGAATCTCGTATGTTTCCCCTACGTCGGCCCAAGTGCCGTTTGCGATTTTCTGGTTCTGCTCTTCGAAGAATGCAGCAAATGCCGGCCCATAATGGCCACCGTAGCTTTCCGTCCAGATGCTGACCCGGTCATCGTTAGGCTTGTAGTCAGGGAACGTCTGAAACCAGACTTGAGCCATATGCCACAGGGCTCTCGCGGCGTTGGTGGTTCCGTTGGCGCTTGAGTTTAACAGTTGCGACGGGAAGGTTCCCACAAGAAACGTGTTGTTCTGCTCAGGAACTACGGTAGTAAAGTCATCCACAACGACATCGCCACTGGGATCAAGAAGGTCTTGCGTGCCGTTGACAAGAATGTCGTAGCTTAACCCCACCTGATTGGGTTGATCGATATAAAGCCTGGACATGTTCAGCTATGAGGAGTGACACTAGAGAAAATGCCACCCACATGTTCACCTCATTGTTCCAAGAGTACGGATTTAGGGTCGTCGAGTTGGAGTCATAGTTGATATTGCAAGGTCCTGGAACAAGGATGAGCATGATATTCACAGGCAGGGAGATGCTACCTTGAACATACCATTTTCCTGCAACAGACCGATCATCGACGAACTCCCTGGGCCACCATTCATCCATATCGACAATGGCGCATTTGCTGGATCCTTCCTTGATTCGAAGAACCAGAAAAAGGTGTTTATGGTGTAATTCTGGAAGATCCCCAGGTCGTCGAGGATACCTGGTGGCAAGTGTACGTAGCCTGCATATGATTTGACGCCAGGGGTCGTCTCGCAAATTCCCGGCTAGAATGTATCATCTCAGTGGAGCTGCCCGTTGTTTGTCGGGGTACATACCTCTTTGAACGAAATAGACACTCCATCCTGGATCTTTGACTTGACGACTGTAACCCCTTCAGGCGTTGGTGGAAAGAATTGAGCAGAACTTAATGCTGCCAGGGTCAGTAACGAAAAGTCGAGGGACAACCTCATGTTGTCTCATGGAAGGAATAAGATGGGGGCGAGAAGTCAAAGGCCGCCGGAGCGCCAGGGAGGGCAAAATGCAGTATTTGTGCCTGTGTCGACCTTATCTCGACCCTTGATCCGGGGCTCTCGCAAGCGAGGCGGCGAGTTGCGATGAATGGCGATCCTACCATACCATCAACTGTAACTTAGTTACTCCTCTGCATGCTCCACAGCATATCTTGTGCTAAGCTTAGAGGTAACACTGGACTGCCCCCGCTAAGACGCGGTGGGCGATCAGTCTCATCTCATCCCGTCGCTTGCCGGTGGTTGGACGTAGTATTCTCGCTAAGCAGAGCGTCGTCCAGGCAGGTCGGAGAGGCCGTTTGCTGCCTGGGGCTGGGACTGGCACACATTATTGCTTCAGCCATGTGGTCAACAAGGTGGTGGGCTCTTATCGGAGGCGTACAGTAGAAGCTTCATCTCGCTGCGAGGACACAATTAAAATTTAAACTATGCAGTCAAGAAAAGAAGGTGGTATCAGCCCCAAAGCTTGTGAAATGCTAGCAATCTTGGCTTGAAATGCTGGGCTCACTACTCTGTACCTGTGTAATAAATAATACGTAGAGGATCCGAGGATACCGACCTCCTACCTGGGTGTTGTACCTATGTAGACACCTTCAACTACATCCCACCTTCAGGAATTGTTTACACCCCTGCATCCCCAGCTATTTCTGGATCTGGACCGCGATTTCTGGAAACATCCTGAACCGAGCCTCGCACTTCACCCAGCATTCTCATGCTGGTGTGCATGAGATCAATCATCTCCTTAAAATGCCGATGATGTTTCCTGTGATTAAGAGAGGGCTGTCGCTGCAGGACATGACATCTTGACAAGGCGTACAGTATGCGAACTCATTCTCTTGAACGTGCGTGTATGAGGATGGCAGTTCTTCGTGATGGACTCCGTAATGATGATAGAGTCGTCGTGAGAGGAGGTAGAACTGCGCATTATGAGGATACGAGGGCAGAAAGATGGATCCAGCCACTGAGTAGACCATACTCGTCAGGCTGAGTAGCTGGACTCGAACATTGGTAACTAATACATTACGACGCCCTCAGCCTCATAAGCCTGGCTGTTACCATGGCGTGGCGGTCAGAATGCCATCATTGCACTTGTCGCGCGCATCCTTCACCATCTCGTCTGGCAGGGAGACTCAAACCATTCAGTTCCATCTCTTTGGCAACGCTACAGGGTTAGAAATGCACGGTAGTTACATGCAATGCATGTCTCCCAACAAAGGAATACAATTAACACCCATTCTCATCAGGCAGTCATGTTCGTTGGTCACAGAGGCGCGGCACAATACGCACAAAGTCTCAGCACATGCATACAAAGAGACACCCCCGGATCATAAGGGGGTTGCAGATGACGGCCAAGGCAGCAATCAACAACAAAAAGGCAAACATGCAGACAAGCAAGCTGCTCCCTCTTGAATAAATAGACTTACTCCTGCCTCCTGCCTCTACCTCCTTTCCATCATAGCACAGCAATCTCTGATTCTCACGGGACAGCACAATCAACATCAGCAACCAGAAATCTCCATCTCCATTCTCGGAATCAATCAGAACACACTTGAGCAAAATGTGCGGTCCACCTGAAGAAAGCATTCGACAGAGCCTCAAAGACATCTTCCAAACTGAAGACATCATACGGGCAATCATCGCCGGCCGCAGCCTAGAAGAAGTCAGCAGCACCTTCGGCATTCCAGCATGGCAAATCACCCTCCGCATCGCCAACTTCGGCTCTCAGGCTGTTCAGCTCGCCGCATTCCGCTGTGCTGAGCCCATCGGCGGCGCCTGCGAGATCCACTGTACTAATGTAATCTCATTTACCGAAAGACAGAGCAAGGTGGTTGCCATGGAGGCGATGGCGGGAATGATGACCGGTATGGAGTATCCATGGGCGTTGTTGATGGCGGAATGCAACTGCGCAAGAGCCATCGCTGAGTCCGACGAAGACGAGAGCAGTACCGGCGATGGCAGCGTTGGAGATCGGGGATTGTTTGCAAAGAGCCAGAAGGCAGCCAAGGAAGATGGGGCAAATGGTGCGAAGGATGAAGGGAAAGCCAAGGGGAAGACGGTCACTGGTGAAGCTGGCGTCAAGAAAGGCGGTGCTCATGCTGGAACTGCTGCTGAAGGAAAGAAATCACCCATCCTGGTCCTGAACTTTCCACCAACAGGCAAAGCTCGTCCCGTCAAGCACACTCATGCCCCGCCAGCCTGAGCTTGACAATCACCCAGCAGAGAAACAGGGCGTTGAGTCGCATGCAGAGTGTGCTCGGCTCACTACGTGATGGCGAAAGAAGAATTTGACGAAGCCAGGAGATGAAAAACCGGAGCCAGGGACGTGTCTTATGTGTTCTATGTGTTCATCATAGAGTCTGAAGGTTCAATCAGAATCAAAAATACTTGATCAAGCTGTTCGTTTCTCGCCCATATTGTACGCCGTATGTAAATGCACGCAAGCAGTCACGTCAGTGTAGTCGTCCGTGGTAGAGTAGAGGTGCCAGCTCAGTCAAGTAGTGGACTTTCGCCGACTGAACGCCTTCATCAGTCTGTTTGAGGTGCTTTCTTTAGCCGGTGCATCCACCGCTCGACTTCCTCCACGAACAGTACCCAATCGAGCGGCAGTGGCTCTTTGAGGTGCTAGGCCCTTGTCGCTTTGCTTGCCCAGAATCTCGTTGGTTGTCTTTCTACCGTAGAACCCAAGCATTTGCTCGTTAGATTGATGGTACTTTTTCTCTTCCGCCCATTCCATCAGGGCCTGTAGGTAGGCTTCTCGGGATGGAAAGCCACGATAGCCTTGGTCTGCAACGAGTGTATCGATCGAAGACGCAGAGAAGACGCTTGCAGGGCGAGAGGGTCGAGGAGGTGGGATGGATCTGATGGAAGACATGTTGGTCGGGACGGTCCTCTGGAAGACATTGAACAGTGAGTGCCGTTGTTCCTGCGCTTGTCAATGGCCCAAGAAGCTGGTATGCACTGAGGGCCCTTCTCCTCCGCAGTACTTTGTGTACGGCAGAGCAATAACTCGGATAGTGCATTCCGAGATGCTTGGCATGTCACGTGCAGAAGTGGTGCTATCTCGGATCCAGCTCTTCCAGCTTCACGCGAGGCACAAAAGGCACGCCACTGGTCAGTCCACGCTCGGTTCCTCAGATCATCCGGAGCAAATCTCATGTTCCTCTTTCGCGCCCCTTGAAGCTTGAAGCCCCGAGTGATGCCACCGCCTCATCTGACCAATTAGACCTTCCCAACCAACCCACCGCCAATCAAAGAAAAGTCCCTGACCGTCTATCGCATCTTGAATTTATTCTTCCCTTTCCGCTGCCTACGAACCCTACTTTTCGACCTACGACCTACGAGCTTCAGCTTTTGAGTACATTCTTTTTCCGGAGGCCGAAACACACACTCTCTCATTGCAAGGTCGATAAGGTTGGGTTGGACCGTCTTTGCCGGCAACATGTATGCCTTCCGGCTTCTCCTATCGCGTAGATCTTGCCGTTGCTAACAACATCCGCCTCCAGGAATTCTACGTACGCCGCCCCCGTCACCTATGGCGACTACTTCAACGACATTTCACAGTATAATGTCCACCTCAACGTATTCGAAAAGGCCTGGGCAGCATGGTACGCCTATATGCAGAACGACGTCCTCGCCACCGGTATCATGTCTTTCGCTATGCACGAAATCGTCTACTTCGGCCGGTGTATCCCGTTCATGATCATGGACAAGATCCCTTACTTCCGCAGATATAAGATCCAGGGCGTAAGTTGCATACCCATACCGCAGACACGAGCACGGAGCTGATATAATGACAATAGCAAAAAATGCCAACTCTTTCCGAACAATGGAAATGCGCCAAACTCGTCCTCCTCTCGCATTTCACCGTCGAGTTGCCACAAATCTGGCTCTTCCACCCAATGGCCCAATACTTTGGCCTCTCGACCTCAGTACCCTTCCCTCACTGGACCAAGATGGCATGGCAGATTGCTTTGTTCTTCGTCCTCGAAGACGCCTGGCACTATTGGTTTCATCGACTATTACACACCCCTCGCCTGTACAAGATGATTCACAAGCTGCACCACCAATACAGCGCACCTTTCGGTCTCGCCGCTGAATATGCTTCCCCCATCGAGACCATGATCCTTGCTTTCGGCACTGTCGGCATTCCCATCGTCTTCTGCGCCATCTTCAAGGATCTCCACATCATGACCATGTACCTCTGGATTATCGGCCGCCTGTTCCAGGCAATCGATGCTCACTCCGGGTACGAGTTCCCCTGGAGCTTGCACCACTTCCTGCCCTTCTGGGCCGGTGCCGACCACCACGATGTCCACCACGAGAAGTTCCTCGGAAACTATGCCAGTTCATTCCGCTGGTGGGACGCTATGATGGACACCGAGGCCGGAAGTGCTTCAGCCCCGAAGACACGAGAAAAGAAGGCCGCTGTTGCTAAAAAGGTTGAATAGATCTGCTTTGCCACAAGCCAAGCAATGAGTCTTTGGTGATTCTGTCATAGACGGAGCTCTTCGACCAGCTTCGTTGTACATATATGGTCGACACATAAGAAATGCCAAAGAGCGCGTCAAATATGGTTGCATGGGATGGCGTTCTGGGGGGTGCATTCGGACTGAGGACTCGAGACCGGGTTTTGGCATAGCGGTGAATAGCCCAGCAGCCTTGCTGGCTTTTAATGATGAATACATATTGTTATCGTTGACTTGTCAAGTCATGACTTTGCGTTTTGGCACCCGCACTTCTCTAGGGCATCCTGGATCTTCTGCCGGTTTTCGGATATAGAAGTTTCACGCTTTGCTGTCACGTATTGCAGGATCTGGTCCGAGTCTTGTCCGGGCGTAGATCCCTCGATTGGCCTCGTCACATCAACGTCTGTGAGCAGCTCGTCAATCTTCGCAGCTAATCTCGTATCTCGAATGCTCAGCCCTCGCGGACTATGTGTCGTACACGTTACGGTCAGGCAATTCTTGAGATGTTGGCTGTTGTCGTCGCTGACTCGAGCAATGTGAGGGTGGTGATTCATCTTGTCGGCTTCTTCCATGATGGCTCTTTCGACCCTGTCACATTCCTCCGCCGATGAAAGCGCGAGGTGTCTGTGGATGGCGTCTCCCAGGGGATCCAGGATCCAGCGTGCAGCACCGAACGACGACAGCGTCGATGTTGATGGTGTCGTGGGAGCAGAATTAGTGCTGGTGCTGGTGTCGTCGGATATTGATAACAACGACGCCAGTGCAGCGGTCATCTTCTCGGTCTTTGCTTTGGGCGTAGGGTGAAAAGGCTGTGTGATCTCGGATCCATTCTTCAAGAGAAACGTAATCTTCTGACGATCCTCCGAGATGATGATCGGGGTCTCCATACTTGTAGTTGCTGAGCCAGCTAGAGACAAATGTCGGAGACGCTGCTGGCCGAATCGCTCGCTGGAGCTTTTGCTCTTTGTTGTCAATGTCCACAGAGAGTTTAGGTGCACATGATGCCACGAACTTCTAGCTACGAGTCCTCGACCCGGTAGCTTTAGCACTAGCATGGTTATTGTTGCGTGGGATGACGGAGAAAGAAGGAGAGGTAAGGAATAGGACCGTGTCGTGTGGGAAGCAAGATCCGAACAAATGCGAGGCTCCGCATCATATTGAGCTTGGGGAGGCTTTTTTACCTCCCGTTCTCGTACTCGTACTGGTCGAACCTCTCTACTCCTGGCGGTTGCTAGGTAAGGCCTCATCAGCTTTTTGGTGCCTTATTTCTTGTTCATCTATCGATCATTTCGACCTCCGGCTGACACTCCGTACGATCTACGGGTACTACGGCAACAAAACATCATGGTGCTTATTGTCCTGGGACGAAGGAATAAGGTATCCCAACATCTACTCCTTCTCCCCAGCCTCCCCTCTGCCTGTACAGGTCAGGGAGTTTGTCCAGCAATGAACCACGGATCCATTCCCGCTTCCACGCGTGCAACCATCATAAGCCCACCGAGAAAGCCACCAAAAAGCTATGGCAGAACTCCATACGGATAGTGATAGCACCTCGAATCCTGACAGACACCAACGAATCAGATCGCCATGATCACCCTAATCACCACGTCGACCTTGTACGTGCCAATTCCTCTCCTACCAGGGTCGGCTCTTAGTGTCATTTCCTTTCTGCCTTGCTTTAAATACCTGAAACGTCGAGCGTTGGAGGCCAACCTGATACAGGGTATCGAGTAGCTAAGCACTCTGTCCTCGTACACTTCCTGGACCACGCAATGAATATTTCCTGAGGCATCCTACGGCGGTACCTAGTTACGACCTGCGCCAAACACGAACTCAGCCCCCAGAATGGAGGAAGAGACTGATGATTCGAGGCCCCCCAGACCCTAGGTCTGTTCCTGACCTGTATAAGCCACCCCAATGAGTGCAGCCAATGCAAGGTACACCGTACCCGACTCGCCGGGGCCAGGTATATCGCAGGGACGATATGAAGCACGCTCTATCACTCGGTTGTTGAGACGAAGAGTAAGTCTTTCTGTTGTTGATGTTGATACCAATCTTGCCTTGCAACCATTCCCAATACACCTCCGACGGACTACCTTGTCCACGTTGTCATTTGGTTCTGTTTTGCTTCGTCTGGGTTCTCTTTCACTGCATGCATTTCGGCGCGTGAGGATTGTTTGTTTTTGTTTCTCTCAGTCTCTAGCCTGGAATTTTGGCGGCCTTATTGTCACGGCGCGCGCTTGGAGTTCTTTGTACAATTTCAGAGCTGCTTCGGAACAGCCATAGCAGACTGGGCAGGCGCTGAAAGATGCTCCCTGTTGAGATACTGTTATTACTTTCATTGACATCAGTCGCTGCTCATGTGATACCCACACCTGTCCGATCTCGAGATCTTCCGGCCCCAGTTCCACTGGCAGACGACCCTCTGAAAAGTGTCGCAAACAGCATTCTCAGCGCGGCTGCCTCGACGGATGGGCTGTTAACCGTGGGACCTCAAGCGACGACACCAGCATCTGGCGACCCTGACCCCGTCGAGACGACAATAACTTCTTCAAGGCAGACGACAAGCACTCAGAGCGGGCGGACGAGTCAAACAGGCACGGCGACGGGGACAGCGAGCACGCAGTCTTCTTCGAGAAGCGACAGCGATCCAGATAGTTCCTCGACGCCGGGCGTATTCGCGTCTATCGGCGGCACGCAGACGGCGCAGAGTACTCTCTCAGATGCGGGCTCGGGTTCAGCAACCGCAAACTCAGCCGGTCCCACCACGACGGGCGCCAGCGGCAGCAGTTCCTCAAGTACCGGATCATCGTCTACCGCTCCTTCAGGCTCAGACCCGTCGGACCCGAATCCTTCAGATCCTTCCTCGTCGTCACCGTCGTCGTCGTCGTCGCCTTCTACCAACCGCAAATCCGCAAACCTCTCAACGGGCGAAACCGTTGCCGCAGTCATCCTCCCCATCTTGGGATTGCTGGTGGCTCTCTTTCTGCTTTTGCGCTTCTGTCCGCCCTTGAAGAGAAGGTACCGTGAGTGGCGCCAGGATCGCCTGGAACGCTCCGCGTACCGGCGCGCACTCGACGACCCCGTCATGTCATTCTACCCGCGCAGCCGGATCCCGCGACCGCTCAGTTTCGGTTTCTCGATGCCTCCTACGGCCCAGCAGATCGAGAGAAGCCCTTTGAACGGGGAAGCCGGTGGCAGCCAACACTCGGAGAGTGGACCGAATGGGACTGCTCATATAATCGGCGTCGCTGTGCCCATGCCTGTGTCGGGCAGGTTCGGGCATGGACACAGCAGGAGCATCAGTCACTCGAGGACGATGAGCAGTATATCGGAGGAGAGCGAGGGCGTATACGAAGACGCCAGGAGCGAGCGTGGTTCGTCTCGTGAGAGGAACCATGGTGGCAATGTCAATGGGGATGCGAATGGCGGAGGAGATTGATCGATCGGGAATGACCTACGACATCTATGAGATTTGAGACTTTTCTTCCTCTCTGCTTTTTGTGATTGATATTTCTGATGTTTCTAGCCATGTTCATTGAGCGAGTGCGTTCTGGAGCCTGGGTTCTTTTATTGTACTGTACTGTACATTTTCCGTTGCCGCTCAGGGTGTTTGCCTTGTTCATGGCTCACAGCATAGCGTTGGTGCTTGAACACAGCATTGCTCTCCCGGGGATTTTTCAGGAGCGTTATGATACCCTAACTGCTGGCATAAAACACATTCTCTTCCCTACATACCTTCGCTACCTACGTAGTAGATACCCTGTACTCAAAAGACTAGACTGCTGTCTGATACTGTTTAATACTCGGTCCCTGCCGTTGGTATGCTTGGACGTGGTCACGGTTCAGAATCTGATTCGACGGATCGATCGTGGTGGGAACTTTTTGTGGTTTTTGGGGATTGAAGAAGTTTCGCCGTCATTGTCCGACATTGTACGGAGTACAGAGTTGCAACAACATACCTCATCCATACAATACACGTCAATAGATTTTTTGTACCCAGATATTTGTACCTGAGCTAGTTTGCTTGGGTACTTTTATCATTGCAACATCTACTACGGAACACGTATACAACACCGCATCTCGCGAAAAAAGTGTATACATACATACCTGACAAGTCGCAAGTCGACCGTCCTACACTTGAGGCCCATTGGACGTCTTTTCCAGTAGCAAAATGTCAGCCAGGTCCACGACAGGAGGAGCAGGTCAGGGAGAGGACATTGATCTCGTCCTCCTCCGGGACCATCTGGTCTCGATCGCACTCCGCGCAGGACGCATGATCACCAGCGCGCGGCCCAGCACCAGCTCGAGCGGCACGAAAAAGAACAGCGCCGACCTCGTCACCGAGACGGACCAGGCGGTCGAGGCGTTCATATCCTCGGAGCTGCGCACGCTGTACCCCGGGTTCTCGTTCATGGGCGAAGAGACGTACCAGCCCGGGCAGACCCTGGGGCCGGAGCCCACGTTCGTCGTGGACCCGATCGACGGCACCACCAACTTCGTGCACCGGTTTCCCTACGTGTCCGTGTCGCTGGGGTTCGCGGTCGACAGGGTGCCCAGCGTCGGCGTCGTGTACAACCCGTTCACGGGCCGGCTGTACACCGGCGTCAAGGGCAAGGGGAGTTTCGTCTTTGACGTGCCTGCCGGTGCTGGAGCCGCCGGCGCGGGTGACCTCACAGCACCTCCGCGTCCCGAGCAAGGCACGAAACTGCCCACGAAGGAACTCACGGCGCTGGGCGGTCTCGACGGGTGCGTCGTCGCCGTCGAGTTCGGCAGCGACCGGTCCGGACGGAACTGGAAGACCAAGACGGACACGTGGGCGCGCCTGGGCCGGAGCAAGGACGACGGCGGCGCCATGGTGCACAGCGCCCGGGCGCTGGGCAGCGCGGCGCTGAACCTGTGCGGCGTCGCCGAGGGCGTGCTGGACGCCTACTGGGAAGGCGGCTGCTGGGCCTGGGACGTCTGCGCCGGATGGGTCATTTTGACGGAAGCCGGGGGCCTCATCGTCGACGGGAACCCGAGTGGCAATTTCGACATCCCCGTCACCCACCGAAAGTATCTCGCCGTGAAAGCGGCCAAGGACGGAGTGGGCCAGAAGGAATTGGTCAAGGAGTTCTGGAGCCACATTGAGGGTGACATGGTGTATGAGCATTGAGCACCGAAAGACTGGCAGGCCATACTTTGACATAGTATACCCAAGGTATATCAAACTTGGGGACACGACTTTGGAGTCGGATCCGACGACAACCACCACTTCGATATCGAAACGAGAGAACCAAGACCGGGGGACGACAGCATATTACGAATAGCATTCATCGCCTGGAATATCATGGCGATGCAAACCAAAAAAAATAGAGCGATAGACATCAATAGACAACGACGACACTTCTCAAAGGCTAGCCCATCCAGACTTTGAACAAGTCAAGTTGTTGTATCTACAAAAGCATCACCCATAGAGGAGAGCACAAGGCGATCCTGTCAAAGGCGTGTCTTTTAACATTCGAATATATTGTATCACTTCGATTCCCGGTATGCCCTGCCATCTTGAAACCAGAAGGACTTGCTTCTATCCTTGCCCGACCCCGTTTGATAACATTACAATTTTTGTCGCTATGCAGGTACATGATTGACAAGGAGATAGACTGGTGGAAAATCCATCTACTTCCATAGCTTGCCGAGCGAGACTTCCTTGTCGTCATGCTTGTTGAGTACTTTCGCCGTCGCCAAATCGAAATCTTCCTGAGTGACATGGATTCTTCGCTCTCGCAAGGCAAACATGCCAGCTTCTGTGCAAACACCTTTCAGCTCTGCCCCTGAGCATCCGTTCATCTTCTCCGCAATCTTCTTCAAGTCGATCCCTCTGGTCAAGTTCATGCTTCTTGAGTGGATTCTCAGAATATCGGCTCTGGCTTCGACCGTTGGCGGAGGGAATTCAATCTTTCGGTCGATACGACCAGGTCGGAGTAACTGTCGCATACGTGTCAGCATATTGATGATGTGCCAGTGAGGATACTTGTACTTACTGCAGGATCGAGAATATCGAGTCGGTTAGTGGCCATGATGACCTTGATGTTTTTGGTAGGCTCGAACCCGTCCAGTTGATTCAGCAGTTCCAACATGGTTCTCTGTACTTCCGAATCACCTCCACTGCTTCCTTCAACACGGCTAGAACCTATACTGTCGATTTCGTCCATGAATATGATGCTGGGTGCTTGCTCTCTTGCCATGACGAAAAGTTCTCGGACCATGCGGCTGCCTTCACCAATGTATTTTTGCACCAATTCGGACCCTGATACTCTGATGAATTTGCAATTTGAGTGATGCGCCACAGCACGAGCCAGGAGAGTCTTTCCGGTTCCAGGAGGGCCGTAGAGGAGAACGCCTTTAGGCTGGGCGATACCCAACGATTCGAATAGTTCTGGATGATTGAGACCAAGCTCGATGACCTCCTTGATTTCCTTGATTTGTTGATCCAGGCCACCAATCATGTCATACGTGCTGTCCGGTACCTTCTCAACCATCATGAGCGACACTAGAGGATCGACCGACGACGGAAGCATCTTCTCGAGCTTGTATGAATCAGAGAGCAAGGAAACACGTTTTCCGACCGTCAGCTTAGAGATATCAACATTGTCGGCAATATCGACGACTGGAATTCTGTCAGCGGAAGTGTTACCAGCGGAACATCAACACTGACCATATTTGCCCTCTGGATGTACTTTGACCAGCACCTTCTTGGTACCCATCACTTTCACGACCTCTCCGACATATGACCCTGGCTGTTGTAGCAGTCCCAGCTCTTCTCGTAGTAGCCGTACCCTTGAGTTGTAGTCATTTCGCTGAGCTTCTAGTCTTCGGAGGACTGCTTGACCTTGAATGATCTCAAGCTTGAGGGATTCGATTTTGTTGTGATAAAAGTTATCGAGAGCCATGATAGCTCCGGACGGTGATCCAGGTTATACGAAGAGGTAACGTCGAAATAGAGGGCGGTGACACAGCGAGTGCGGATTTTGATGGCGAGGGTTGATGAGTAGCGACTGGAGGGAACAGACACATTGGCCGCGTCTACCAAACGCAGCCTTAGGAACAGCCTCGCCGCAGCCACGAGGCTGAAATGACTTACATAAGCCAAGCGCTCCGGCTTCTGGGGGGACGGATTAAGGTATTGCCGTGTCGGCGTAGTTCCGTATCGCTGCAGTCCCTCCCACCGCCGGCCAGAGCCCGCAGCTCGTACGAGCGCAATAGACTTCGGCATGATCGGGGGCTCTTAGGCGAGAATACGAGCCCCTAGCACCAACTGTAACCCTTATGCGGACCTCTAGCAGTCCTCCCAGCATGTCTATTGGGCTGCTCCCTTTAGGCATGATTGAGGTCCCCTTTAGGCACCGCCGCACCACCTTATCTCGCCGTCTTGTGGTCAAGCGGCATGATAAAAAAGAAACGCAGCCTCAAATTTACTCGAGGATAGATAGAGATGAAGCGCCACGGGCACCTTGACGATTGATAAGCCTTCAGGCATTGCTTTTTTGCATCCTTGTGGCACTGCTCGCAGAAGGTGGTTGGAGAGTCCAGCTGCTGTCATCTGTACTGGGTGTGGGTTGTTTGGATGAGCCGCCCCAGACCATTTCCGATTCCCACCTCCGTCTCCATCTCCATCTCCATCAACAAGCGGGCTAGCTGAAGGCCCTAGCTTCTGCTGCAGGGCTTTGTGTACATATGATGCATCCTCTATTTATGCTGACTTGCTGATATCCTTTGCACGTGCCTCCATTGACGTGCTGTCGCTGCACCTCACCAGTCCAAACTTCCGACAAAGCATCCAACCATCGCGAATCCTCCTCATACCTTCCATACCGATAGATCAACTGACCATATTCGGGATATCCTGGCCAAGCTGATGCGCTGCAGGCCTGTCTCAGGCACTGCCTTGCGTTGCCTGAACCTCGAGCCCTCTATCGTCTCTCGCAGCCTGCCGCCTATCTCAGTATATCAGCATCTGGAGGATGTCTTCCAGCGAGACACCTGGCAGGAGCCCGGCGAAGAGCCCGGTGCTCCGATTTGTCCCAGATGTGCAGGCTGAAGCCACAGCCGGTGAAGTTGCTTCTGGCACTATCAGGAGGGACTATGGTAATTTAGCAGCACATGTAACTTTGATATGAGATCTAATGGGATTGTAGGGACTCTCGGCAGCGTGCAGGCATCTGCCAGCCAGCGTCCTCCTGGCCCTCGAGTCGACGATGTATCCGACCTTCCGCCTCTTTCACCTCAGCTGTCGAGACCGAAAAAGCCGCCAACGATGCGAAGGACGTCCACCCGGACTGGAAAATTACTACCACACCGCGGAGAGCAGTTCTCGGTAGACGACGACCCATCAGAGGTAGAAGAGGCAAATAGCATGCAACCTGGCCCCAGCGCATCTCGACAACAATCTACTGTTCGTCGGAGAACACACCCAGCGACGTTAACACGCGTCGATTCTGCAGAAGAGGAAGCCGAGGAGACGGCACCAGAACAGCCTACTGAAGCTGATGCCGAAGAGCCTCTAGATGACACCGAAGCTGGCGACCTTGGAGACAACGAAGAAGAGGAACTGAGTGATGCTGAGAGCTTCACATTGCGGGATCGGCAATTAGCCATTAATCAGACCCATCCCTTCGGTATAAGAATATGGAAACCTGCCTTGTACAAGAAGGGCAGATCCGTCGAGAAAGCTGCAGAGGAAGACATCCATTCGTCTCCGAGTCAGATCGTGAGTCCTTGGCTCTGGTTTTTCAACTGCCTCTGGACCGTTTTCTTCGGCTGGTGGTTAGCTGTCTCCGCGGCCATTGCAGCCTTCGCATGTTACCTGTTCGCTTTTGACCCTAGTGCGGCTGCGTACGGCAGAGTGTTCCTCGGCTTGTCAAACTATCTCTTCTGGCCCTTTGGTAAGTTTGTCAAGCTTGTGCAAGATGAGAACTATGTGGAAGAAGACGAGGGTGAGGGCCGGAGCATCAGCGAGTACGAACGATGGCAGAGCGGAGACCTTGAATATGGCCGACTCATGTTTGGTCCAACTTTCACTCATTCCGGCTCGATCGTTGGTCGACATCGGAACAGCATCGACTCGGCAAGTGAGACTGATAGTCTCCTGGCTCGAAGTGGTAGGACTGACCGACAAGATACCACGTTGTCTAACAAAAAGCGCCGTCTTTTTGGTCGTGGCCAGTGGACCCTCGGTCGAGTCATCTTCTTCGTCTTCTATTATTTCTTTGTGGCACCCTTGCTACTATTCGCCTCTGGTATCTGCTGGTTCATGGTCTTCTGGATCCCCATGGGCCGAGTGACACTGATCTTGTTCTCAAATCTACGAAAACGTCCTCTTTCAATGACATTCCATCGCGATGTTTCGGCCGCTAGGAGCTCAACCAAACCATCGTCGATCCTCCTATGCACCTATCGCGCGGTTGGCAAGAGATATTGGAAGTACACTATTGACGGCACCAACATTTTCCTCATCAACTTTCTCGCTGTTGTTGTCTTCGTCATTCTCGACTATTTCGTGCTGAAAGTAGCACTGGGCGTCAACTTCTGGCTCACCAGTCCAGCCCTGACGTTTACACTCGCGCTAATTTCGATCATTCCTTTGGCTTATTTCATCGGGCAAGCAGTTGCATCGATCTCCGCGCAGTCATCGATGGGAATGGGGGCAGCCGTCAATGCCTTCTTTTCAACTGTCGTCGAAGTTTATCTATATTGCATCGCGCTCAACGAAGGTAAAGCAGCACTTGTGGAAGGCAGCATCATCGGCAGCATCTTCGCGGGAATTCTGCTCCTCCCTGGTCTTTCAATGTGTTTCGGTGCCATCAAGCGAAAGACTCAGCGTTTCAACGTCAAGTCGGCTGGCGCCACGTCCACTATGCTACTGTTTGCGACAATTGCAGCCTTCTGCCCGACGCTGTTCTATAAAATCTATGGCAGCCATGAAATCATTTGCAGGTCGTGTACAACCGACGACTCGAACCCGAACGACTGCCGGCAGTGTTATTTCCGGCAACTTCCAGCCATCACAGACGAGTTCTATGTGAAGGCAGTCCGGCCATACTGCTGGATGGCGGCTATCTTTTTGTTCTCCTCGTATATCATCGGGCTCCTCTTCACCTTGCGAACCCACGCCGCCATCATATGGAGCACTGACCTTGAGGAAAAGAAGCCATCACCCGCTGGCCAAGTACCCACAGATATCAGTCCATTGGACACCCGGAATCAGAGCGTGGCCAATTCGCAGTTCCTAAACAATCCAAACGGTTATGTGCCGAAGACTGCCATCCGAGAGTCACAACTCTACAAGCGAATTTTAGGGCAATCACTTCGGTCGGCTGGTCTTTCGGCGGAAAGTGATACTCAAAATGAACGCGAGCGTCCAGTGACACCCAAGTCAGTGCTTCATGCTCACGATGGCGACCAAAGCGACCTTCCGCACCTTGTGCCGCCAAAATCAAGCCATGGCACTGAATCTCTCCCGAGTCCAGAAATCCTCCCGTTCGTCCCGTCTTTGTCTGAAGAGGAAAACAATTATCTGGTCCGACAGGTTGCCGAAATTGCAGCCACCGCAGCCACCGTGGCCGCAAGGGATGCAGTCAATCACCCGCGAACTGCTGCCTATCAAGCGAGTCATGCGTCCAGATCAGACACTGTCAAAACTCAAAGACCGAGCAATGGTCGGAAGACAACCATGGCTGACCAGGATGCATTTACCACGCCTGCCACTGAGCATGCTGTTCCCCATGAAGTATCCGAACAAAGTGGACAGGGTGGACATGATGCGCCAAACTGGAGTCGAACCAAGTCATCAGTTATCCTGTTGACTGCGACTGTGGCATATGCCATCGTCGCCGAGATCCTGGTTGATACGGTAGACGTCGTTCTAGAGTCCGTTGACATTGATGAGAAATTTCTCGGTATAACTCTCTTCGCGCTTGTGCCCAACACCACCGAGTTCCTGAACGCTATATCCTTTGCTATGAACGGAAACATTGCATTGAGCATGGAAATTGGCTCGGCATATGCACTTCAAGTTTGTTTATTGCAACTCCCGGCGTTGGTGCTGTTCTCTGCGGTACAGGGACAATGGATCGATGCTGGCGAGTTGATCGATCACACCTTCAACCTCATCTTTCCGCAGTGGGATATGGTGACTGTTATCCTTTGTGTGTTTTTGTTGAGTTATATGTCAGGCGAGGGGAAGAGCAACTACTTCAAAGGAAGTATTCTGGTCATGACATACCTTGTGGTGGTGATGGGATACTATTTCAGTGGGTTTACGACGCTCACGATTATGGAAACGAGTGCCTGGCAAAGCGGTACTCCCGGTCCGATGGGTGTTTCTAGTGTTCGACCGGGTCGTGAGCTGTGAAGGTGGCATCACGTACAAGTCTTCCATGGGCTCCCGGGGCATACCACTAGACAGCTGGACATTGAGCGAGGGCGTTTTGGTCAGTGAGGGTTTATCAAGCGAGGCCACAGGCTTATAATTCAGCGTCACATAGCATAGCATATCATAGGACTCGTGTCTCCATCTTATTCTCACCAATACATTTTTAACACCCCCTAGCCTTGAACACATGGGTTGGTATCCATTGAGGAGTGGTGTGCCTGAGATGTGTCCTTCTTGTTGAACGTCTCTGCTGTCTGTGGCCGATGAGTGTCTCCCCCTTGAATGTCCCAAAGCGGATTAGTCTATCATCTTACTCACCGTATCTGGTCTTGCGCCCATCAATCCTCAACCACTTCGAGTTGTCGATATCACTCCCGCGGCCTTTGTACATCTTCCAAGTGCGTCTTTCCCAAAGGGGGGGCTCCTGAGGCTGTTTACGAAGGATATGGCTGTGGAGTTAGAGTCTCTATCACTATCCTCGCCTCCAGCAGAGCCCTCAACCTCGCTCGTAACCGCGACGCATGCTCTGACGACAACGTCGGAAGTATCGGCCTTTGAGCCGCCATCGTTGCTTGACCTCTTTTCCAACAGCCTCATCCTAGAGCAGATCATTCGATACCTTCCAGTGCGGGTGATCTTGGCCTTGTCACAGACGTCCAAAAGCTTCAAGGCGCTCCTGCTGTCCACGCCCAGGGTCTTTCGCTATGTCGATGTCTCTGCGAGTCGTGGCGCGTGGGTGCTGCACCGTCAGTATGAGCGATTCGACCGTGGAGGCTACCGGTGGCGCAACGAACGCATGGACGAGTCTCTCACCGAGGACGACTTCTACTCGGGCCCTCTGCGCGGCGTGCTTTCCAAGCTGAGGCGGCTCAGAGTACTCGCCAGCGTACAGACACTCGTCGTGGACAAGCTCGCGTCCGTGACCAACGACTTGCTGCATGAACTCGTCGACTCCCGCGAATACAACATCCGCCTGCTCAGCATCAGGGGCTGCTTGAACCTCAACGAGGGCAAACTCCACCAACTCCTCCGGCACATCTGCCGGCCCTCGCGACCCAAAGGCACTCCGCGGCTACAGGGCCTGTACGTGTTCCAACCTCCACCTCGGCCGCCGTCTGGGTCTCAGACTCAGACTCAGTCTCAGCAGCAGCAGCAGGGGTCCTACCGTGGCAACGGCAACAGTAACGACTACTACACCAACGTGGCGCGGTACGTCGGCACCCGCCGCGTACAGGACACGACGGGCAGCGGGACTCCCCTGGACTCTGCGACCACTACTGTGAATAACGTTCATGATCCCAAGTCCAGCTTCGACACCAGTGGGGACGACGAGGACGACTGTTGTCCGTGGTACGGAGCGCGGGGCCAGGCCATTGTCACAGGCCACAATCAGCGCAGCGCGTGGGAAGAGACACTCGTGGCATGCGAGGGCATCGTCAGCTTCGACGCCGTGCTCTGCACGCACATGCACGCCTATATGGACCCGGTCCTCCATCCGGCGTCGCGGCTGGACCTCGACGACACCAAGCCTGGCATACCTACCCTCGCGACCGTCGCTTTGGGTCCCGACGGCTGTGCGGGTTGCGGCGCGGCACCTCCGGGGACCCCGATCTGGGGCAAAAGCTCGCCGCGGGAGTTTCCTCTCCTCTGGCCGCCTCCTTGGACAGGAAGCCTCGTTGACGCCGTCCGTCCTCCACCTCCACCTCCACCGTCGAGCCCGTCCTTGGCCCCTAACAGCACAAATGACAGCGGTAGCAGCAGAAGCAGTGGTGTCGACAGTACCACGAAGCCGATAGCACAGAGACTGGTCGCGTCGTGTACTTGGTGTCTGACGAATCGGTACTGTGAGAGTTGTCATCGGTGGTGGTGCATAGATTGCTTCAATCCGGCGTCATCATCATCATCGTCATCGAATTCACATTTACAAGTGTTGACGTCGACTGCTGCTACTACTTCTACTACTACAGGTACTACGACAGGATCCACTGCAAGTAGTACTACTGTGACGGGTACCACTGGAGACCCTCTTGATGAACCAGTGGATCCAGGAGAGAGTGATATAAAGGTACGTGTGTAAAGTACCAATACTGACTTACTTGATTTGATGCTCACGATGACTCCTTCATTTCACCTTTTTTCTCTCCCTCCCTCTCTCTCTCTCTTGCACACCAAACCCCCTCTTTTCACTTGCCTCCTCCTTCTTCTCCATGTTGTCATGAATCAGATTATCAGACATCGGGCTAACATGCGCCACGTACTCTTTGTCTCTTGTACCATTCTAGGCCCCATTCCCCAAACGCATGCAAATACCCACGGGTTCCCCCGCGGTGACGCGCGACTGCTACGAATGCGGCCGATTGTGCCGTCAATGCGCGCCCTTGCCGAGAAGGCTGTGCCAACGTTGCAAGAGCGTGTACTGCATCAACCACAACACGGGGTGTAGTGAGACGTATGTACGTATACCCCCCGGTTGTACGCTCGTTGACGATCAAACAATTACCCTGGAACCCTTCCTTGCCCTGGAATTCTTGAACTTCAAGGGTTTCTCACTCCCTCCCCTCCCTCTCACTCTCTCCTTCTCCCTCTCGCTTCCTCCCTCTCACCGTCCCTCCCTCTCACCGTCCCTCCCTCTCACCGTCCCTCCCTCTCACCGTCCCTCCCTCTCACCGTCCCTCCCTCTCACCGT